ATTACTCCCAAATTTGGACTCGGATCTTTACTCAACAGATTCCTTTCCTGGGTAATCAGTTTGTCTTCTTTGGGAAATTTTCCACACCACTGCGGTGACCTCTCTTCCCAACCCCCTTTCAAAAGCCCCTAGGTTTCGATCTCTCGGAATGTTTGCTTAAGGGTCGCTTTTAGGTTAATTTTGGTAAAGGCCTCTAAAGATAAAATCCAAGAACCAAGACTTTCAGCACGTTCACTGCAAGGCTAGGCAAAACAAGCAATGGCCTAGATAAAAAGATGAACCTTGCCTTTTGTCTAAACTGGCTAAGGGGCAGTTATTACAAGAATTCAAACTATTACATTCAGTATGACAAATCATAGGGTTGAAAGGGACCTCAAGGGTTATCTGGTGCAATCCCCAGCATAAACACTGTCCTAGTTGCACTGCTTCACCCTAAGATGGGGATAAGCATGGGCTCCTTGTCCAAATTTATCTCCAGTTGGTCCTGGTCCCTGTGGGCATCCTCTTCATCCAGGCTGCCTGGGTCTGATGGAGTGGAGACTTGAGAACATGGAAGAGAGAGGCTTCAGGTGCCCAGCTTGTTCCTGTCATGGCCTATAGCCGAGTGGTTTTTCAAAGGGTTGTATGAAAGACGGATGATGAACATATATCACCATAATGTAAAATTTGGGTAGGTTTTTTTATGGAAACGGTGAAAGAGACGTCCCGAACATAAAAAGTATCTCCCTTCCTGATTTTAATTCCATGCTACGAGGAATGAGGGTGCTAGGGTTTGCCAAAAAAGGTTGCTAAAATATTTTAGTATAGCTTATTTTCTCTTTTTGCTAGCCTTGTGTTTTTTTTGGAAATAACGAAACTATTTTGGCTGATTTTTTTTTTCTAAAAAATCCCCCCAAAACTCAATCTGCAGTAGATACCCATTATGTAGAATATCACCCCCAACTCTTGTTTACCCAAACAACTGAAAAGAAAGGTCCTAAAACAGGACTGAATGGTATTACCATTCACTGTTCCTCTAAGTCACCTTGTTAAATGGCGAAAAAAAAGCCAAATGCATCTTTAAATACAATTTCAATCGTATTTTTTATATCTGATTTTGGAGGTAGTCATCGTAATGGAGAATAGCATTGGCTGCAGTCTTGTTAGATACTGAATGCCTTCCCCTCCCACTGATTTTTGGGGGAGTTGAAGATGCCTTTTGTTCCTAGCATGTGCTGAAAGAGTGGGTACTAAAAGGAAAGAAATCATGCTATGATGTTTCCATCCTGTTTTAAGAGTTGATAATAATCATAAAAATTCACAGAAGTTTAGGGCTGGAAGGGACCTTGTGAGAGCATCAGGTCCAGCCCCCCTGCTGTGGGCAGGAAACTGCTGGGGTCAAATAACCCCAGCAATTGATATTAATTTTTAATTCAGGCCCAAAGAAGTAAACTTCAGTGATTCAGAATTAAACAGTGTAGATTATTATAATTAAACACTTGACATCTTAAGCTCTTCAAACCAGACGCCTTGTCTCCATTCTTACGGCTATAGTATAAAGCACATCAGTAATAATATATTTAAAATGAAACTAACATTTTCCCCTTTCTATATTGGCAATCCAGTGGACTAGATTGTTTTCTGTTTTTATATTAGTCTTGGGTACATTCATTCATGGTTCATAAAGACAGCTTTTCCCAGTAGCAGACTCAGAAATTGCAGTTCTCTTACATCAGAAACTAGTGATTATTCATAACAGGCTCTTTTTGTACACATGGAGTTTCCAGGGCAAAGAAGCTAGTTTTCAAAGGGAGTAGACAATGCTGAATCTAACAAGATAATCTGTACAGTTAGCTGTGTGTGTTACAGAAATTGTGTGAGTGTACACAATTATTTACATAATAATAAAAAGATGACAAAAATTCCTTATCTGTTTTTTGTACTATGGTGAGATTGCTTATGAAAAAAATGGCTAATAGCAGCAGCAAACAAGCTGAAATGAGAGGACTGTAGAACACCCTTTGGATTCCTTGGTTAGGCTCATGTTTCCTTCTGTGCAGAGTTCTTAAGATGTTGTTTAGGTTAAGTGGGAAAACCAAAAAGAAAAACCCAGTAAGAAATGGCAGTCAAGCATCTAACTAGAGAGAGCAGAGTAATGGTTTCTTGGTTATAACAGGTAGTAAATAGGTTAAAATAGGATTAGGTAGTCAGGAAATTTGGTTTCTGCCTGTTACTGACTGTCATCAAAAAAAAGAGTCCCGTAACCTCTATGCTTCTGGTGTGACTTCTCTCTCTCCTGGCATAGTCAAACAAGCAGAGTTGCCCAAATGTGTTACTAATTACAAAACATTCTGAAGAGCTTTGTTTGATCTTCTGATACTCCCTGCATGGTTTTGTTCCTGAACTCTTAGGTTACAGTCAGATTTACATTTCCTTCCAAAAGTATTCATCCGTTTGGATAAAAAAAACAAAACCCAAATCAAACATCCAAGTTATCTGTCCATGTAGTAAGGGGAAACATTAATCACCCAAAAGTAAACTGTTTGTGGATTTATTTGCTGAGAGCAAGTCAATGTGCATTTTTTAGAGCCCTAAATGATATCATATACTAAAAACCCTACTTTAACAGAGTATTATTAAGGTTGCTAAGTCAAATACTTCGATTTTTTTTTATTTATATGTAAATATTATTTAGGGCCTTGAACCCTAAATCAATTGATGAAAGTGATTCAAATAAATCATGTTGTTCTTTCTAGCAAAATGTTAGTGACTTTGCCGTAAAGCAACTATAGCCAGGGGCTGACAGTCTGCAAGCTGGATTGTCTTTGCTAATCCATTTTATTCTGCCCGTGGAGCTTGGGTAGCATTTTAGTGGTTGGAGGCTTCACCTGCATAGCAGCTGTGTGGCAGGGAGAAGTAGCAGTCATGGCATTTTGGGCAGATGGGAGAGAACAGGGAGGAGGGAGCAGTGACTGCAGCTGCAGCAGCACAGGTTGGGTTGTCAGTTGAAGTGCACCAATATATCAGCTGCATATCAGATTAGCACCAATACAAGGAAAGTTAATATTTATTGGCTTTTTTTGGCCAGTGTAGCCAATAATGTTCACTGATAAATATAATATGCCTTCTGGCCTGGGCCCCTGGATACCATGTGCATACATGCAGCCGCACACATGCATGTGGCCAAGAATGTAGCTGGGCAGCATGAAGAGCTGATGGAGGTGATGGAGGGAGTGGGGCAGGGGCTGGGGGTGCTGCCCAGCTAGGTCAGTAAGTGGGATCCAAGGCCAGGGCGGAGAGTGGGATGGAGCTGCATGCAGCTCATCCAGGGGGCACAGGGGGCATGAGCTGAGGGTGTGGCCACTCTGACATTGGATGTACCCCCTGGAGGAAGCATGGGGGGGCATGTGCCCCCCCCATTTGTGTGCAGGGCAGATGCAGTTGGGCCTGGGGCTCTCCACTTTGCTACCTTTCCTTAGAAGCCCCACGCTGGCTGTATACCCCCTGCCTACCTGGCAGCAGTGGGTGCGGCAACTTGTGCCTCCTGTTGCTGGGTGCACAGCCAGCGTGGAGCCCCCAGGGCAAAGGCAGCAGGATAGACAGCCCCAAGCCCTCAGCAAGCAGCCTGTATCCGCCGTCGCCCTGCTTGGTTCCTCCCCAGTTAAAAGCATCCTTGCACTTAAAAATGATGGTGGCAGCACTTGAACTACAACTCATTCAACAAGCTTTGGTCCAAGGGCCCCTGCTGCCATTTTTAAGTGCTGAGACACTGATCCCTAGATGAGCCACCCATGGCTCTGTCCTGCTCCCCACCCTGGCCCCAGCTCCTATTCACAGCCCTGGTTGGGTAGTTCCCCCAGCCCTAGCCTCTGCCCCACTCCCTCCCTCCCTCACTATGGAGGTCTCAGTCTGCCCTTCCCTATGCCTCTTCTCCTCCACAGACTTACCTGCAGGGAGCTGCTTGCCACACTGCCTGGCTGCATTATCAGATCGGTATCTGCCGATATGGCTGGTTAATAATCAGCTATCAGTACCAGCCAAGAAAATCTTTATCAGGGTACCCCTAGTTGTCAGCATCCTGCAGTCAGAGCTAAGCTCTGTTAAAGCAGTCCTCTGCTCCAGAACACCCCAAACCCCTAGACTACACCATTAGAGAAAGGGATTTTGAAGATACATAGGGATGTTGACCTGTCTGGTAGTCCTGGGTAGACAGCAGTTGAAGCTTTGCTTGTGCTACTATCATGTCTATAAGTAATAGGTAATAGTAAATACTCAGAGGCATGTACTGTATGTTTGTAGGTGCCATTCTGTCTATGCTTTACTTTCATTACTGAGTTCAAGAACTTAAGTTCTAGGTTATGCCAGAAAAATTAGCAGCTGTTTCCCTTTGATAGCTGTCAGAACTTTGTTATTTTAAATAACACAAAAAGCCTCTTTGGGGAGGTGGATGAGGAAGCATCAGTCACAAGTTATTTAGACTATACTTAAAAAACAACCCACCACACAATAAAATTACAGCTGATTTTTTTTTCTGATGGCCATGCAGCAAACCTTTAATCCTAACTACAGCAAAAGAGCTTTGGGTTGACAACAATACCCTTACTGCTGCTGTTGAAGACTAAATAGCTGTGTTGAAGCAGCTAACTGATTTTGTTCTGGTGACAGTCTGAACAAGGACACATGCATGTTTCTCTGTAGTTAATAGAGAGGTTCAAATTCTTCACCATGTTCTAAGTCTGGGCCCCAGGCCATGTCCAGCCCTTAAAGCTATGCCACCTGGCCCAGGGGAGCAGGAGAGCAGTGGCACTGTTAATTGCTGTTCCCATGCTGCCACATTTCTGGACCTGTGGGGAGCCTTACAGGCTGGATAGCCTGGTCCTGCGTGCTAGAATAGACAGGGGACCCAGTATGGGTATGCAGGGCAGGGCAGAGGTGGTGTGGGACTGATCTTGGCAGATGGGCTGAGCAGAGGTGGTACAGGGCCTAATCTGGCAGTGTGGGGCTAAGCAGAAGTGGCATAGGGCCCAATCCCTGCACCCAGGGGGGCTGGCCACGGTGGCACAGGTCCTGCAGGGTCCGATCCAACTTTCAGATCAGCCCTGCGCCACTCATCTGACCTGCGGGACCTAAAGGTTGAGTAACACTGTTCTAAGTTTTGGCCCTTTTTAAAGTCAGCTAATACTGTGTTTGCTGTGTTCTGGAATTGGTATCCACAGACCAGCTAGATTTTATTTTTTGGGTGACAATAGATGGGTTTCATATGTCAAGGCTCCTGTACACCTTCAAACTTTTCAGAGCTCTAGCACAGGGCCCCTGGGACTGTCTTTCCTGGGCAAGGAATGGCAAAATCAGTGATTAAAAACAAACAGTTCTTAAAAGTAATGTGTTTTTTTTTTCCAGCCTGTCAAACCTTTGGCCTAGTTTTGAGTGTGCCATGTTGTGGGCTGCCAGACTAGACTTCTTCATTTAAACTGGAAGTGAGCTGTGATGTTCAGTCGAGCTGCATACCACTAAGTGTTTGGCAGGAAAACCCTGACCCACTGTTTGATCACAGTGTAGACTGGAGGTCTGTCACTCTATATAATTTCTCTTCAGATGTGATCTGTCCCTGTAAAAGAAGACTAGTGATTATCCTATTATTTAAGCCACTTTAGAACACTAATATTATATTATATACTAATATTAGATATTATATACTTGTATACTGATATCTATTATATAGTGTTGTTATATACCACAAAATTATATAAAATGTTGTAGCATTTTGGTTGACTGGCATTATATGCTCAGAACAAACTCTAAAATATAACTGCATCTGTTCACCTCTGTTCTAAATATATGTGGTGGGGAGTTTGTACACATCCCACGCAGGGTGGCATGGAAGTGTGAAGCAGTCACCTTAGTTGGTCTACTGACTATCACTGGCAGGATTGTTGCAAGCTATGCATCCAGCAAATGATACAATCATATGAAGGCTAAATACTATGTTTACAAAATGAAGAAAACAAACAAATCCTAGAAATTCAGTGCTTAATGTCATCATTTGTTTATTATGCTTGAAGAGGCATAGCGGTATGTTGGTGGTGGTTTCCTCTGCACAGGAAGCTAGATTTACATATGCTCTTTTAAAATAGCAGTTATGTTGCGTAAAGTAGCTGTGACTAGGATGTGGCAGGATGCAGGGGTTCTCAATACTGTATGACCCTCATGTAACAAGTGCTAATGTACTGTGTCCTCTCAACTGTGCCTTCTATGGCAGTAACCCTTCATATATCAGTGGGTTACATAGTTGAATCACTTCAGACAAAAACGGAAATCAGTTTTTCGTCATCTTGCTCTTTATCGGTTTGGATAAATATACAATAAAAAAAATACGTAAAAATAGAACTGACTTCATAAAAGTAATCCTCCAGTGTGTTGCTGCCATATTCTTAAGGAAGTAATCCAGTCTAATCATAATCCAAAAAGAAATCTTGCAGCTGGGGAATCTCATGCTTGCACAACCATCAATCACCAACACCTGTCCACATGAGGGGATTAGCAGTGAAGTGAAGCTCTTTGATGCAACTGATTCATGTTTTAAAAAGCATAAAATACTACTGTCCAGGCAGTTTTCTTTTACTTTCTTATGAGTCATTTTACTTCCCCATGGAAAAGAGTCCTTCTGGAGTACCCACTCAGCATTGTTTGGATAACCAGTGCTCCTAGGTCCTGTGCATTGTGAGGTCAGCCCTGTGATTAATGGTAAAATGCAATAAGTGCAACTAGCTGAAGGTCACTCATTCCATATTTGGGAGGTCAGACTAAAAATCTTATCATTCTTCTTGCCATCCCATGATCTGCCTCTCTTCAGGTAGCCAGCACAATTTTCAAACTCTTAACAGATCACTGAGGTTAGAACTGTTCTGTATAGTGGTGCTGATAGTCATGCAGTTGTACAGCCTGTATGGATACAATTTATGTCACTGCCAAAGAAATCAACTGATTGTGCTACTGTAAGTAAATGGTTTGGGCCGAAACTTTCTGCAACAGCCACAACTTGCTAGAGCTACAACTTCCTCTTCCTTGTCTTCTGTTGGACCTAGAAGCAAACAAAAAAAACTGAGGAAAATGTTGAAACTGAAGTCAAGGAGCTGCTCCAGGAGGTATTTGGATGTGTTGCATTCTGTTGAATGCTGTTACTGGGCTTGAGAAACAAGTGGTTGCTGGTGGGGGAGATTTAAACTGCAAAGTGCAAACCTGAAATGACCATCAGCGTCTGCCGAAGTTCAGAAGAACTGAGAGTGCTTTCTTGGAGATCTACACTGAGTTTACCCCAAGTACCCTTAGAAAGGACTGTTACCATGTGCTAAAAGGCTTGCCAAACCTTCGGAGGTTATTGTCTTTGAATGCATACGGTTCCTTAGTTGTACTGACACAGATGATAATGAAATCCATATTCCCATTATTTACCCTTTCCTCTTTCCCCTCACCCTCCTGCACAGGACTCAAGAATTCATACAGGAAAGTAATTGTTCACATTATTCCAAGGCCTGTTCCACAATTGCAGTAGGTTTACCAGTATTAATTGAGTTGATATGGAAAAATGCATAATGCCAACATTTCCAGGAATTTACTTTGACATGAAATTCCTCCCGATTCCAGCAGGAATAAAAATCTCTAAAACAGTTAGCTAGGTACATCGCCATGAGGAGTTGTGGATCTTTTTACATCGATACAATTGGCTTTATCATATAGATAAGCCCTTGTGAATGAAGGATTTCTCAAGACATTAACATATATGAGGGGCAAGAGACCATATAGCCCTCAATACATTGAAATGAAACTCTGTTAGAAAATATAAGAATGGGACTAAGTACATATGAGTTAGATGGCATGGTGTTTCCTGGTAACATAGGTCAGCAAGATTGTATCCAGTGTTATCTGCCTATTTGTGGTTAAACTCTTGTCCCAGTGTCTAAACTCCTGATGGGATCTTGCCAAAACTAGCTGATATAATGTCCAACTTGGTTTGCCATGCTGATTGTCTTTTGCCCTACTACATCATCTCTACTCCAGAGCTACCAGTTGCATTTGGACTTAAGGGTTGTCTGCATTAGAAAACCTTAAGAGCAGATCATGGCTTGTGTGATGCACTCTAGTATCCTGCACTCTATTCATCCTGCCTTTGTCTGAGGATGTCCTGCCAAACCAAATAGGTGAGACATCACTATTAGATCCCATGTGGGGCTTCTGAGTTTTTCAGTGAAGTACTTTACACTCTATAGGTGCTGCTAAAACCCCATACCTTAAAGACAGGACTACTTTTGAGGTAAAAAAAGAAGTAGGTGGCTTGTTGAGGCTAGCACAGTTTTAAAAAAAAAGCTACCTTGCTTTTATTCTATTTGTCTTTCAAAGGAACCTGTAAATAAGCTAGAAGTCTCATACTTTTATTCTTTAACCAAGGCTTCATGTGAAGTTTCTTTACAGCTGCTTATATCCTACCTAACCCAACAATAGTTTACAAAGCTGATGGATAGATTTGGCTTTTTCAAAAATGTCAGTGCAATTCCAGTTAACAGCTTGAAATGTATGGAAAATAATGAAAACATACACTGCAGGTACAGGAGATTGTTTATCTTTCTTTGAGTAACCTTCTAGCTGCATAGTCCAGTGTTGGTAAATGGGCCCCATGCAGAAAGCCTTAGAGATTTTTCTTCAGTGGTATCCACATGGTGCTTGCGTTCTCTGAGAGTATTCATGTTCTGGCTGAAGGCATAAAATGTGG